GCTGTCAAGTTTGGTGATGTTTGGCAAATGGTACAAAAACAATATTGATAGGCAAGGTCAGAGCAGTTCTGTTCTCCACAACTCCCATCACATGATCAGCCCTGTCTTTCTTCCCTCGAATAACCCAGTTTTCTCCAGTCCTTATACTTTCTCTCCACTCACCAGAGCCCTAGTCTTCCCACTGAATGGCTGAGTATAGTGTTCACCATTTGGGAGACAAGCACACTAGAAGCCCAAGTCACAACATATCCACGTAACAAACCTGCACACGCTTCCCCTGAACCTATAAAAATAAAAACAAAAAATTAGAATGGCTCCCAAACTTCTGGTGTGTTAGTATTGTAGCAAAATAAAGACCCTGCAAGTGGCTATCCTCTTTTTTTTTTAAATGGCTGTTAAGTCATCCCTTCGAAGGTGTTCATTGATAGGTGGCAGCTCCTAAATGTAGTAACATTTTTTAAAAGGATACTCTTGAAGGAGAACAGGGAGTGACTTTTAGACAGACACTATTTCCTCCAACCTGCCCAAGAGGTCAATGATGACTTGGAAACCATCTCTAAAAGTTCACCAATCAAACACAGAGTCCTTTTTGCATCTTCTCTTCTTCAAAGCTTGTCTACAGATGCTACCTCTTTTGAAAACATTCCAGACAACCTGGAAGGCAGATAAAAGATTATTATCACCAGTTTACCAAGTATGATGCTAAGTCACAAGAGGGTAAATGAGTCCCCAAAGGTCACACAGCTAGTTAGTGTCAGCCTAGACAGCACCAATTCTGGCTCTAGAAGCTCTCAAAATAAATTATTTTCCCCACCGCAGAGACAATTCTCAAATTCCATCTCTGGAAACTGATGGCACTTTCCATGAATGTCCTTCTATCTCTAATTACCTGCCTATCTCAGTCCAAATGAGTTCCAGAACATAAAACCTAACCTTTCAGCTGACTGTCTCTGAGACGTAGGAATATAATAAGGGTGCTTATGTTCTATCATATAATGTTTCTGCTGCAACTGTTTCAATGGTATTATATTTGGGCTTCAGAATTATACTAACCCTATACTAGGGGACACTTTAAAAATCAAATAAGGAGGAGGAGAAAAAGGCATAAAGGGACCTAAAAAGTACACCCAAATCTCCCAATTGGGAAACGAAAGCTCTTTTCTGTGGGCTCTAAGCGTTAAGCCATTTTGTCCTTAAACCACAGCTTCTGCTGTCATATTGGGAATGAAGACTATCAGAGAAAGGAGGAGATAGGCATTGCGTGTTGGCAATGAAGTCTTCCCTGGAAGCATTAGGAGAAAGGTCTACGTTCGTCATGCTGGGAGTTTCACTGCTGCTTTTTTGCAGCATGGAGACTTAGAGAGCATCGCTTGTCACTCAGTGTGAGATGCCTAGAGCTGCCCCAGAGCACAGACCACCAAGTGTTCTTCCAAAGACTGTTTCAGACTAAGGGTATAGAAAGTCAAGTCGTGTTTTTTACCCAAAGCAGTCATCAGTGTTGCTTTTTGTAACCTTCCCAGCTTGGACACTGCTACCAACACCACCCAACTCTAGCCATGCACTCCCATTCTCAAAGACAATTCTCAGCTGCCCCCTGCCTTGGGTGGAAATCCAAATCCCTCAACCTGGCTCTTCACGACATGGCCTAAGGCTGTCTTTCCAGTGTGTAACTGACACTCTTCTACATATGTTACACAAACTCAAGTACCTCCCGTTCCCCACAAACTTTCCTGCTGCCTTATTTTTTCAAGTCACTTCTTCCACTTGGAATGCTCTGTCTCTTCTCTGTCTACCCAGTGTCAAAGGTCAGTTCAAAAGCTTACTGCCTCCCAAATGTAAGTATTTTACACATGCCTCCTCCTTCCCTTTAAATGATGTTATAAAGTCCCTGATGCAATTAATTGCTCATGGAAGATGCTCAATTAATTTAGTCAAGTGAATAAGCAGATAAATCTCATACATCCATACCACAATCTCGTGAGGCAGAAAGGTGAGACAGTGTCTCCCTGCCAGACCCACCCACTGTCAGATGAATCAGCTTGTCTGTTTTTCTCCAATCTATATTCGGGCTTATTCCTCTTGCCTGCAGTTGAATGTATGTATCCACCACACCAGTGCATAGTTTGAAAGTGTTTTCCTTCTGTTTCACCAAATTTGAAGTGATAAAAATACAAACGTTTATTTCCTAGAAGATCACGTCATTCTGACGAAATTGTGTGCTTTCAAAGTAGTCAAAGAACTACAGACCTAGGCCTGTAGTCTCAGCTACTGGGGAGGCTGAGGCAGAAGGATGCCTTGAACCTAGGAGTTAGAGGATGTGGTAAGCTATGATCACACTGCTGCTCTTTTTAAAAAATTGAAAAGAAGTTGAAGGAAACAAACTCTAAGACGGATGCCTGTCCCATAAGTAGTGCTAGCCAGCTCACCCGATGCCCAAGCACATCCAGTGTGACAGCCATAGTGAACTGCCTGTCACTCCTCTGGCATCCTCCCTACCAAATGGATTCCTGAGAAGTGTGACTCCAGGTCCTACCTAATGCAGTCCAACCAGCAGGGTTCTCAAGGCCCCTGAAGCGTGAGGCTGCAACTCCCAAGTCCATGTAACGGAATCTGAGCCTTGCACGGTAGAGGGGGGGTCAGAAGCTATCTGGTAGCCAAGGGCACTGCCGAGGCTTTAGAATAACAGCACGAGGTGGTAATCAAACGCCGCCAGGGGACATTTAACCAGTTAATCATCTCAATCATCCATCTTTTATTCATAAACATGAGGAACGATGTTTCTTTTGGCTGCTCACTTGCCCTTACAGGTTGCCCCAACATTATACTGTCCCAACTTTTTCCTTTGTGTCACATAAAATACATCTGGCACGGTTAAAGCATCTTGTCACCATAGATGTCAGTACCAGTATTGGGCTGGGACGGCCTGATTACTGTTGCTCCCAGAGCCTGTTGAGCATATGTAGTTTAAGGGCAAGGCTTTAAGTAGTTCTTCTAACCCTTTAAAGACTGTAAGTCCATGGAGATATGAGACAAATAGCATAATCTGAGACAGAAGTAGACCTTATTACCAAACAGGCTTATCCATTATCTCAATTACTCATTTTATTTCAGTCTTGAAGGAGACAGACAGGTGCAAATGACTCATGCCTGTAATCCCAGCACTTCAGGAGGCCAAGGTGGGAGGATCACTTGAGGCCAGGAGTTTGAGACCAGCCAGGCAACATAGTGAGACCTCTTCTCTTTTTTTTAATGGTAGAATTGTTTGTTTTATATATAAAACAGTTATTTTGTGTATAAAGCAAACAATCTTACCTCTTATATATACATGTGTGTGTATATATTTGTTTTTGAGACAAGATCTCACTAGGGTCAGCCTCTACAGTAACTGGAACTATAGACACATGCCACAATACCCAGCTATTTCTAAAATTTTGTTAAGAGGTCGGGGGTTCTCACTGTGTTGCTTAAGCTGATTTCAAACTCCTGGCCTCAAGTGATCCTCCCACTTTGGCCTCCTAAAGCACTAGGATTACAAGTGTTAGCAACCGTGGCTTGCCAAATTCTATTTTTTGTTTTTTATCTATGTGTTCATTTTTGAGTTAGAGTCTCACTCTGTCACCTAGGCTGGAGTGCAGTGGCACACTCGCAGCCACCAAGCCTCCACCTGCTGGGCTCAGGCAATCCTTCCGCTTCAACCTTCCAAGTAGCTGTAACTACAGGCTCGCACCACCACACCCGGCTAATGTTTTGATTTATTGTAGAGATGAGATCTTGCCAAGTTGCCCGGGCTGGTCTCAAATCCCTGGGCTCAGGCAATTCTCCTGCCTCCACCTCCCAAAGTGCTGGGATTACAGGCACAAGCCACTGCATCTAGCCAAGTTCTATTTTTTAACTGTCAAAAATCAAACAGAAAATTCTTAGTCAGATTGAATTCATTGAACTTAATCACAAGGAGATCCCAATCATAATGTAAGTTCACTGCGCCTAGATGAATATATCCTTTCTGCAAGGTTCCTATTTCTCCTTTTTTAACCCTAGTTGAACAGACAGAAATGCAAAGCATTATCAGGAAAGTTGACAAATTACCTCGGAGGACATGAACTGTATTTTCCTCATTATTCTGTCCTGGGTTCTAACTCACCCCTTGACACCTTTGTAGTAAGCTTGATAGCAATGTGATTAAGAACAAAGGCTTGGAGTCGGAATTCCAGATTTGGCCTTCACTAGCTACCTAGGATTAACAAATTTCTCCTGGCCTCCACTTCATTTGCAAAGTGTGAATAATAATATTACCCACTCACACAATTATTGTGATAATTGAATGAATTAATGCCTGGAAGGTGCTTAGCTGACCCTTAGGACATGGTCAGTCAATGTGGGCTCTTATTTGCACTCTCTTGAATTTTACCTATGACTCATTGTTTTGAAGGGCTTTACTGTGACAAGGGAAAAAGAGCACACACTATATGCTGTATATTTTTAATATCCAAGTCTCTAGTCAGTGATTCCCAGAGTGTGGTCTGGGGACATCTGAGGATCCGTAAGATCCTTTTAGGAAGTCCTTAAGTTCAAAACTATTTTCATAATAACATGAAACTATTATTTGCCTTTTTCATTCTCATTTTCTCTTGAGTGTACTGTGGAATCTTCTAGAGGCTATAAGACATGTAATATCATTCCTTAACAGTTGATGAAATGTGGACTTGTACATGCCTGTGTTTTTGACATTCCTCAGTTACCACTTCAAAGAGAGCACAAAGCAATTGATGTAATCCACATAAGTAAATCTCTTAGGGGTGCTTGAGTTTTAAGAGTTTAAAAGGTTCCTGAGACCAAAAAAGTATCAGAATCTCTGCCAGACTATACCAAGTTCAAGTCCCCTATCCCCATTCCAAAATCTGTAATGCAAAAATGCCATATTCATCTCTTCAGCTTGAGACCTGCCCCCAGAGTTGGGCCTTGAAGCTACTCTGTCTGTTTCTTGTCACTGTGTGTTTCAGGCTGTCTGGGTCTGACTTTCCGGGCGAGGAGTGGCTGTGGGATTATGAGAAGCACGTCCACCGGCATTCCGTGATAAGAAGAGTCAAGCGCTTCCTGAGTGCCCACGAGCACCCCTCCAGTCCCAGGAGGAGAAGCTACAGGAGGCAGACCAGTGATAGCTCCATGTTCTTCCCCCGCGGTGACCTCGGCCCAGCCAGGGATCTTCTGAACGTACCCTCGAGAAACCCCCACAGGGCCTCGCCCACCTGGGAGCAATCCTGCTCCCTAAAAGTGAGCCCCAAGCTGCATTCCAGCCTGGGAGAACTGTCCACAATCAGGGAGACCAGCCAGACAAGCACTTTACAGAACCTGACCCCACAGTCCAGTGTGAGGGCCTCCCCCATCAAAATGCCCCAGGTTCCTGAAGTATTGATCACAGCAGCCGAAGCGCCAGTACCCACGTCCGACAGTTACCACCATGACTCCACTACCTCTATCCTGAACTCTGAGTTTACTGGGGTTCAGCCAAGTGGGACCGGGCAGCAGGAGGGCTTGGCAGGATCGATCCTGTTCCCCTCAGAGAAGGGGACACCTCCTAGGGGGCCCAGACTCCAAACTGCTTCAGCCAGTACTGAGAGAAACATACTGAAGTATGAAGGAGACCCTACTGATGCAGACAGGTTTCTGAAAAGGTGGAGTCTCCCAGAGTTCCTAAGATCCAGCCACACCTCCCTGGGAAACCAAGGTCCGTCCTCTGCGAGTGCTGAGCCAGCTCTGTTAGTTGACACAGAAACTTCCTCAGAGACCAGTAGAACCAACATTGCAGCTGGCCTTCGAGTCTCTCCTGAGATGCTGTATTTAATAGAAAGCCTGGACACCAAGGAAACAGACATCATCGAACTGAACAGTGAGGAAACTGAGGAGTTGCCCAAAGGAGTGCCTCAGAGCTCCAGGACCTGCTTCTAGCCCAGACCCTTACCTTCCCAAAAGTTCAACGTTTGTCCCAAAATATACTTCAGGGTTGATCAGATTTTTTAAGAACAATCATACTGTATAAGCTACTTCGAACTTTGAAGGGCATTATGATCCTGGCTCTTGGAGAACTGTGAAAATCAAACACATTCATGTCAACCCTCACAAAGTGGCATTCATAAAAGTTGCACAAACCACAGTGATGCATTTTAACCAAACAAGGAGCCTTAAATATATATATGACTTATAAATGCATAGGTTATTAGCTATGAAAAGACTTTGCAGCTCATATTCCAATTTCCTAGACACAAAGGCCCAGACAAAGGAATCACTATATCTTTTCTTTTTTTTTTCCTCATTTTCTTTAACCATAAAAACAGGAGATGGATCACATAGTTCCCAGCGTCTCCTTCCTGCCTAATGATTCCTTCAAGCTTTCTAGCCATCTCACCCCCACTGACTTCCTGATTCTTAAGCTTCATCAGCACCAGAAGGCTTCATTTCTCTTAAATTTCCTTTTTTGCTTTCAGATTTTCATTTCTTTCTTCCTCTTTTATTCTCTCAGCCTTTCCTTCCTTCCCTTCTCTCTAGCCATGCTTCTTTTCTAGGGACTCTAATCTGTCTTACCTTTCAAGTTATAATATTTTCTCTTGCCAGCTCTGTTGCTTACTTTTTGCCATGATTGTGAAATATGAAGCATTGGCAAAGCCTCCTACAGAAAAATTGAAGATGTCAGCGGATCCCACCTGACACGCTTCCGGCCTCGCTTCCGGTGGAAGTGGCATGGGAGATGATGGCCTCCCACCACACCTTCCCTCGCAGCCATTGCCATTTCTTTTTGCTTCTACTCTTCGGTCTTGGGCACTGGGGAAAACAGAAGCCTGGAAGATACTAACTTGCATGACAAAATGCTATGCAGCCAAAGAATAAGATGGCTCGAATCTAACTCGAACCTTAAGCAAAAACCCCGGTCATGCCACAACACGGGACCAGTTACTGTGTCTATCAGGTTCTATGGGAATGAGGTGGAGTATGGGAACTGGGTGCATTATGGGATCCAGGACTGCACTGTGGGGATCGGATGCTCACTCCTCCAAGGAGTCTTCAGGTGGCTGTTCCCAACTCTGTCTGGACGGCCATGGCTTATGCGTGTTGCTGTCACCCTTTGTCACATGATGAAGCATCACTGCACATGGCTTTAAAAAATAAAACAACCCCAGTAGCCACCATTTGTTGAGTGTTCACAGCGCTCCAGGCAGGAACACATGAAGTTCACAGATGGTCTCACTAATCCTCATAGGACTCCTATGACATTGATACACTATTGTTTCCATTTTAAAGATGAGGGAAGCATCTTTAGATGCTTGGAGATTTGCCTAAAATCACATCACCAAGAAGTGGAGGAGCTCAGATTCAAATCCAGGTTTATCTGAGTGGAAAGCCAACACTCTTTACTACTGCTCTTCCTCACTGCCCTGTGCTGTCTGTAAGGCCCTGAATCTGCCTGTAATTTGCCCAGAATTCTGCAGGATGCCCCAAGGGAGCCATACCCAAACCACAGGTCCAGGCTAAATTTCTCCAGCCTTGGAGACCTCTCTGGGTCCTCCCCCAAGTCTACCTCCAGCCTTCACACATACATAGAAGAGGGCATTGCTCCAACTTTGAGCCCTGGCCTTGGTCCTCTTCATTTTTTTATAACAAAAGAAAGTTGACTAGACCCTCCTTCCCTTCCCCCAACCCCATATGCAGTGTTATAATTAGCACATTTTCGCAAGACCTCAAATCTCCCTAGACCTCCGGAGCTGCATGACAGCAATGACATTTACTCTAGCTGACTTTTCTCAAAGGACTGAAAGGAAGTAATAGAGGAAATGCTATTCACGGCTGATTCCCTGCGTTGGTTGGTAGTGTTAGCACCTAGGAAGCACTGATATTCCAAAACATTACCTACAGACTAATATAGGTCAAGCCCCAGTATCACACTTCTAGAAGGAAGGAACCCCAAACTCCCAGTCAGCAGTCTCTGAATGCTACTTTCTTGGGTGTTTCAACTTAAGTGTCTCTTCTCTTTGGCTCTCTCTGTTGTTCAAATTCAAATAAGTTTCTACTTAGCTGCCTTTGAAATATAATCCGTTTTCATTCCTACACCCAAGGTAATAAATTATACACAAATAGAATAATACATTTTGTGAAGAGCTAGGAAAGTGTTCACTTATCTCTGCTTCCACCCATCCTTATGCATTTTTATCCAGAGAATTATTTAATTTTCTCAATATTTCTTCAGACTTTGAGATAGGCTCTCATTTTCTCCTTGCACTGAAAAGTAAATTATGACAGGCTCAATGAACCCATGTGGCTGAATTCAGCTATAAATTCAAGTCAGCAATTGCCCAGAGCAGATGAAGAAATTCTCTATTCATTCTAAAATGAGTTTTTACTCAACACAGACCAAGGCAGCAAAAACAAAATGATTTCTTTTCATGGGCCTGACTTCACTGCCTGCTCAATCCGTTTCCTCCCAAGCCCTGGAACCTTCACCTACCTGAACGAACAGTCACACGGCCGGTAAGTCTCTTGGGCTTACCCATTCCAAGAACAGGCTCGACTTTGTTCTGCATTAATTGTCGTCCACAAGGCAGAGAGTGTAGTGAGGCCAAGTCCTGTTTGTTTCCTTCTCTCCCTGCTCTACAGAGAGAACTCTGTCCTGACCCTGAGGTCTGCAGTCCAATAAGAAGGCCCCTAAGTTTCTCTGCCATCCAAGAATTTAGAGATGAGTGGCCTTTGACCAAACAAAGCAAGCTATTCTCTCCCCTTCTTTTATTGTCCCATCTACTTCTTGGTGCATGGCCTCCACCATGCCAGGCCTCCACTTTCAACCTGGTCCAGTTATGCTATGGAAAACTGTTTTGTTTTTTTTTTTGAGTCGGAGTCTCACTCTGTTATCCAGGCCGGAGTGCAGTGGCATGATCTCAACCTGCTGGGTTCAGGCAATCATTCCACTTCAGCTTTCTGAGTAGCTGGCACTATAGGTGCATGCCACCACACCCAGCTAATTTTATTTTACTGTAGAGACAAGGTCTTGCCATGTTGCCCAGGCTGGTCTTGAACTCCTGAGCTCTGGCAATCCTCACATCTTGGCCTCCCAAAATGCTGGGATTACAAGCATGAGCCACAGCACTGGGCCGAAAAACATACTTTTTTTTTTTTTTTTTGAGTTGGAGTCTCACTCTGTCGCCCAGACTGGAGTGCAGTGGCCGCTCCCGGCCACCACAGCCTCGACCTGCTGGGCTCCGGCGATCCTTCCGCCTCAGCCTTCCAAGTAGCTGGAACTACAGGTGCACGCTACCACACCTGGCTAATTTTTTTTATTTATTTATTGTAGAGATGAGGTCTCACCAAGTTGCCCAGGCGGGTCTCGAACCCGCGGGCTCAGACAATCCACTCACATCAGCCTCCCAAGGCGTGGGATTACAGGCTGAGCCACCAAGCCTGGCTAAAACATACTTTTAATGGCATGGAGAGAGATGTAAAATTCACTATTAGTATAAAGAAAAGACTCACCTAAATATACACCTTTTTTCAGTGTTTTCCCCTCTAGTATTCTCCCTCTCCAGAGAAATTGATTCAATTTTTTAATCATTTTTCTGAGAACTTATTGTCCTGGAATCTACTCTCTGAGGATCTGCTGAGCCCAAGAGGCCATGTGGTGTGATGGAATAAGTGCTGCCACACTGGCCTGTGAATGCTTTCCGCACTTCCTAAACTTGAACAAGTTCTCGTTCTTTTGAATTTCATACTCTCACCTGTAAAATGGTCTCCTCTCTGGACCATTTTCATCATTCTTGCAAGACATTGTGACAGAAGATCAGGAACCCAGGTAGCACTGTGTGACTGACAGGTACATGGATTCACCACGAGTCTCGGAAAAGACTTTCTCTTCCCCCCTTAGTCATTCACTCATTAGGATCCCTTTCTTCTCCAGGAGTCTATATCTTTCATTCAGAAAGCGTTTCTTCTTGGTTTTTTTTTTTTACGAGATGAGGTCTTGTTATGTTGCCCAGGTTGGACTCGAACTCCTAGCCTCAAGCTATCCTCCCACCTCAGCTTTCCAAAACCCTGGGATTGCTGATAGGTGCCACCATGCCTGGCTCAGAGAGCTCTTCGAACACCCACAACACTGAGCTTCCAGCTTTTCACTCTTTTCATTTCTCTTTTGGCTTCTTTCTTCTTTCATGTACTTTCCAACATCTTCCACATCCTTCTTCCCTCCAGTGCTTTTTGTCTTTTCCTCACTCTCTGTAGTCTCCCAGGCCTCATCACCATGGCTCTGAACCCCTCCCCTAACCCATTATGTGGGATGTGGTACTAGAGACATATGTGTTTCTGTTCTTCCCACTCGAAATCTAGAGGATTTAGAAGTCCCGGTTCAAAGTTTGAAGATCCTCTTAGGGTAACTAATCTCCTAAGCCTGGTCCTAGGTTAGTTTATTAGAAATAATAACTGCAGCTGTAAAAACCTCAGAAGCAAGGACAAATTATAACCTGGACAAATCCTCCCTGTCCTTCCCTCCTCACGATCGCCTACGTGACCCACAAGCATTTCCTGATGTGCTAATCACTAATAGCCAAAGATTTTCTCATTTTGTCTGGTTGGATACTAAATTCTTTGGCACGCTTTTTGTTTTTCTTAGTTCTCTGAACCCTAATTTTTAGGATAGTCTTTTCCACTGATATGGCCGCTGAGTCGAAAGAACCAACTCAAGAATATAAGGTTCGTTCTCTTATTGCAAATCTTACAAAATCCAGAAAGATTCCATTGCATAGGAAAGCTGGAGAGACAGGACACCAAGAACACCTCTCTCCACACCCTATCACCTCCGTGTGTGCAGCCATCTCACCCTGGCTGTACCAAATGGAAAACAAAGCAATTTTTCTGTAAAATAGGGACCCAAAAACCACATCTGCCTAGATCATTCATTCAGATTGCAGCTTGTGGTTTTGTGTTTTATTTTGCTTTGTTTCTGAGTTAATTCAGAAAGTGGACCCGAATCTTCTTTTTGCCTCAGGTAGATTTGGCCAGATGGCTCCCTGGAACTGTCTTCTCTGAACTTCTAATTTTAGACATTTGCCTGATAGGCGTAACAAAGGGAAGGTTGTATCTTGTATCCTGAAGGCAAATAAGAACATTTCTAAAATAGGTTTTGTACAGAAATTCTGGTGTGTACCAGAT